TACTTAACAAGGAAATTGATACTTTGTTATAGGACGGATTAAAATGAAAAAATAAATACTTTGTTAAGAGACGGAGAGAGTACCTTTTTAGTCGTGTATATAAACTTTTGTTTTATTATATCTCACCTACAGAATTGATGTACTTTCTTTGGCCACTTTTAATATTTATATTCCCTCCGTCGCACTGGAAAAATGACATTTATTTTTTGTATATAAAATTTGAAATATAATATTATATTAGATTGTAGTAAAAAAAATAAAAATATTCGTATTAATATGGTGTAATATAAAAGTAATGATATCTATGTAATATATTGTATGTTGAAAGAGTATTTATTATGTTAGATAAGTAGTACAATTATTAAATTAGAAAATAGTAACTTTATTTTAAGACGGACGAAAATAAAAAATTGTAACATTTGAATGAGACAGAAAAAGTATATTTTTATTTTCGTCCATTAAATTGAAAAGTTTACATTTTTTTTTAATAACTGTGAACTCTATAATTAACTATTAAGAAATTTTTTACACTTATTTACCATCTTAGGGTGTGTTTGTTTTGTGATATAACTTAAAGAAGAAGTTTTTGACAAAGAGATATGAGAAATTAAATAAGAAATATAATAATAAATGTGTGTAATATATTAATATTTTGAAAAAATATGTGTGTATGTTTTTTTTTTTTTTTTTTATTAAAGAATACACTCTTACTCGTATTTTATTATACATTTAAATCTAAAACTAAGGGTGTGTTGTCTGGGGGTTTGGATTTTGAGTTGAGATTTGAATAGTAAAAATTTTGAATTTGAATAGTTGTATGATGTGATATAAATAGGTATTGATGTGATGTTTTGAATGTAAAATTAATTTTTAGTATAATATAAAAAATAAAAAATAGGTATTTGATTTGATGTTTTAAGGGGAAAAAATTGGATGAATAGTATAAATCCAATCCAATCCCCCAAACAAACACACCCTAAAAGTAAAGACAATTGGTCTTTACAATATTATATCTACACACAATTTTTATGAAAAAAAATAAATATAACTTTTAGAATCGAAAAAATAAAATAAATAAATAAAAAATTTAAGAACCTTACTAGCACATAATTATATGTAAGAAAAAAACAAAACAAAAAACTTAAAACTTAAAAATATTAGTCCACATGTCTGATAAAATTTATACTCCATCCGTTTCAATACAATAGTCTTATTTATTATTTTTGTCCGTCTCAAAACAATAGTCTTATTTCCATAAATAACTATATCACTATATAACTACCATTCCTTTTTCATTATTACACAATTGTCACTATCTTTTACACTAATACACTCACAAAGGCAAAAATGTCTTTTACCTATACTTTTTATCTATTATTAATATAATATCAATATTTCTTAAATCTCATGCCAAATACAATCAAAACTATAATTTCGAAACAGAAAAAATATCTATTTTGCTTTCATTTATAATAAATAATTATTACATACTTTTTAATTTATACTATTCAATATTATATTTATTTACAAAATAGCATGATTATTTAACATTCAAGCTATAAAATTTATTTTCTAACTTCATAACTCATTTGTATACTTTTAAAGATATCATAATTAATCAATATAATGCTCTCTCAAGTCTCACTAAAAAGTGTTGGATAAGGAAAATTTTTAAAAAATATAATTAGTAAGTAAATAAGAAATATATTAATAAAAATAATTATATATTAAAATTAAGATATAAAATAATTTAATTAAGATTAAAAATATTAATTATAAAATTACAAATGTGATTAATTTTTTTTTTTTTTTTTATAATTTTCGTTTATTCCACTTAATAAAAAGGGAATAGTATAGAGTGAGTAGATAAAATAATGATAATTTGATTACTCCATCGTCATTCAAATCTATGTTTACTTTATTTTTCGAGTTGTTAACGAAAAATATTTTTATTTCATTTTTAAGTAAAAAATTATTTTATTTTTATACTGTTTTTTACTATAAAAAAATTAATAATTATTATTCACTTTGATTAAAATATGTAATCAATTAAATGAACGCAGATTTGCACGACTGAAAAAATATTATTTATTAAAATAAATGTAACAAAATTATAAATCGATAAAATTATTTAAAAAAAAAATGACATAATTATCTTTGACCGAATAATATGAAGATAGGTACCTAGTGTAATTTTGGGTCCTACTTCCTAGCGTCGGCACTAGGGATGGTTTCCGCTTACCGAGTCAAGATCGGTTTGATATCATAAGGGATTGCAATTATTTAATGTTTGACTTATATATATATATTTAAAATAATCAGTTTGCTAAGTATTTTTTAATAAAATATTTTTTTTTATAAATATTTTATTATACGTCCGATTTTAGGGATTTTATTTATTTATTTATTTTTCAGTGTTAATTTTTTAATATTAATTATTATATAAAAAATATAGTAAAAATTTAAGAAAAATTTTCACGTATCCTTGACGTGACATCTACGTAGCAATGACATGTCAGTCATGTCAGTAACGGCTGGCCAGCGTGGCGACTTTGGCACCGAATGATCATTTTAACCAAAAAAAAATTTACTTACAGAACTATTTTTAAATATGATTTACTTAAAATTTTAAAATGATAAAAAAAAAAATTAGATACGATGCTAAAAAAATAATTTAGCGAAAAATTTTCTCATAAAAGAGAAACATACCAAATATTATTGGGGCAAGATAAAAGTTGGTAGGAGATAGTGTTTCACTTTATTCATTTCTTATTGGCTAAAAGATCTCTATAGACATTGATTTTGATTGGTCGAGAGTTTGGGTTGAAAGTTCATCTTTTTCAACACACTCATCTTTGTTGTAGGTTTTTGGTCTTATCCATAGAAAAAACTAGCTTTGTTCACATTGTATTTTTAAATTGCATGATTATTCATAAATATTATTTTAAAAATATAAAATATATATTAACAGAATATATAATATATATTATTTAATTATAAAATATTAATTTTTTAGCGTAAAATATTATACTATTTCCGTTACGGCAAAGATGAGTAATTTAATTATAAACACGGTATTTTATATAGTTTACATCAGTAAGATATTAATAATAAGTTATGATATCTTTTTTTTTATTTTTTGTATAAATAGTATTGCTGGTATTTTAAATATTTTTTAGTATTATATCTCAATAAAATATATGCAATATGGAATAATGAAATTCTGTATAATACAAATAAATAAAAAGATATATTTATTTATTTATAATTAATTTAAAATTAATAGTATAAAAATGATAAATTTTAAATATAAATAAAAATATTTATTTATTAAAAAAATTATAAAAATAAAAAATTTTGAGTGAATCCTACGTCTAAAAAGTTAAAAATTTAATTGAATTGATTTATATATTAACTATATTTAAGACTAATAAATTTATTAAAAAAAAAAAGAAACATCTTTTGTTAAACAAAAAAAAAAAAATTTATAGCGGGATCGAAAGAATATTTTATATTATTAAAATAATTATTTATATCTAACATAAAAAAATAATTTATTAAAACATACAAAATATAAAAAGAGTCTAGTCACATCAAAATATAATATTATATCAAATAATTATAAAATAATTAAACTTATTGAAATATGCAGAAAGAAAACACAACGAAACCAACGACTTTTTGGACAAAAAAAGGAAAGTGAGAAACATCTCCTACAATTTAAAAAGACCAAAAAAATATAAAAATGAATATAGGGTGTGTTTGTTCGGGGATTTGGATTTTGAGTTGGGATTTAAATAGTAAAAATTTTAAATTTGAATATTTGTGTAATGCTATATAAATAGGTGTTGATGTGATGTTTTGAATATAAAATTAATTTTTAGTATAATATAAAAAATAAAAAATAAGTGTTTGATTTGATTTTTTTGAGGAAAAAAAATGGGATGAATAGTAAGATTAAAATCCAATCCCCCAAACAAACACACCCATAGAGTTTTAGGAATTTTGAAGTTTTCGAAACTTTGAAAATAGTAGCTTGTGTTCATCTAATAAAATTTAAGACATCATGAATATTACAAATAAAGTTTAGTAAATTGATTCTAGTAAGTTATGGAATTAATTTTAAAAAAAATATGGAATTTTAAATATTGATAAAAATATTTGTTTATTAAGAAGTTATAAAACTAAGAATGATTTTGAGTAAATACTATGTATAAAAGATAAGAAATTTAATTAAATTAATTTATATTTTATTAAATATGTCTAAAATAGATAAATTTACTAAAAACCGAAACATATAAATTGTTATAGGAAACCTAAATTACGAAAAGATGTCATTTGTTATGAAACAGATGATATATAATGTTTTCCAAAAATAAAACTGTAAGGTGCGTTCTTTTATCAAATTTTACTAAATTCCTATTATTCACTAATTTTTTTTCAACAAAAATAACAAATTAAATATTTATTTTTTATTTTTATATTATACTTCATCCGTCCCATATCTATCTATACGTTTATTTTTTTCACGTAGTTTTAGAAATATTAGTATTATATTGAGATATAGTAAAAATAAAAATAAAAAGACTAAACTAATCTTATTAGTATTGTATGATATAAAGATAATGACATTTGTATAATATACGATAAATTGAAAGGTTATTTGTAATGTTAGTTAAATAATACAAGTACTAAAAATAAAAATGAATACTTTATTATGGGACGCCCCCAAAATGTAAAAATAAATAGTTTATAACTAAGTGATAGAGGGAATAGTAAAAATTAATTTTACATTAAAAAACATCACATCAGCACCTATTTATATCATTATCACGCAACTATTCCAATTCAAAATTTTTACTATTTAAATCGCAATAAAAACTCCAAACCCCCCAAACAAACACACCCAAAATTTAAAAGTTCAAAACTATTTATTTATTTATTTATTTTTGTTTTATAAAACCAGACCATTTCTTTAGCCTTTAAATAGACACTTCATGCCTTGTTCAAGTCACAGAACTCAGAACTTCAAATTATTCACAAACAAAAATGGATCAGTTCTCTCAATCAGTTCTTACACTAGTCTCAATCCTTGTCGTAATTTCTACCATCTTCTACTTCAAATTTCAGTCCAAATCTTCATCAAAATTACCACCAGGCCCATGGGGCGTCCCGATCCTCGGCTATCTCCCGTTCATCGGCTCCGATATGAATAAGTTGTCCCAACTCGCGAGCAAATACGGCCAAATATACAAACTCCAACTCGGCAATAAACTTTGCGTCGTTGTCAATTCTCCGGCCCTCGTGAAAGAGGTTGTCCGAGATCACGACATCGTTTTCGCAAACCGGTCTGTGCCTGTCGCGGCCTTTGTCGCCACCTACGGCGCAAAGGATATTGTTTGGTCGGCTAATAACCCCGAGTGGCGAGCATTGCGGAAAGTATTCGTCCGGGAGATGATGAGCAATAGAAGCCTCGAGGTTTTTCTTTATTTATTTTTATTTTATTTTATATACAGTCGCTTCAGTTAATTTCTTTTTTTTTTTTTTTGATCTGCCGTTGCTATTTTTTGAATACGTACTGAATAAATTTTTTTAAATTAGAGTCAATAGGTCGCGCACTAGGCAAGTCGTGAGTGACAAGCTCGATTTATTCGAGCCTTTGACTACAATTTACATATTTTTATTCATTTGGCAGAATTTATTATAAAAAAATCATTTCAAATACTAAATTTTTTACTTTTTTTTTCAAAGCCTCGTTTGAGTTAGTTATACAAAGATTTATTAGTATATTTTATGGAGAATTATGTAGTTTGTTTTGAACTATTTCTAAGATATTATTTTCACTATACATCTTATTATAATTTAATTTGTTTTTTCTTGTAAGACATCACCTCGATATATTTATCATCTACTTTAACCGTTCAGTAAATTTAGAATATTTAGGTTCGACACAAAGATTAAAAGAAAAGTTATTGAAAAAATAATAAAATAAAAAAGATAGTTGAGATATTTTCTAAAATATACTAAAAATTTTAAAAATGAGAAGAGAATAATAAAGACAGTGACGCTTTTTTATAAATAAGTATTAAATAAATGATAATAGTTAGATTTTGATTTGTTAAGTTCGCCAAAATTATTAATAAAGTAAATTTAACAAACAGATTAAAAAAATTAAGAATAAATTTAACTTAAGAGAGTACTTAATATTTCATATTCAAAATTTATTTTTCTTTCAAACGAAACATTAATTTCAATTTGAAATATTTACTATTTTCAAAACGCAATATTATTATTATTAGGCTATATCTTCGAGATTTTATTTTCACTATGCATCTATTATATTTCATTCGTTATTTACTAATCTATTCATTTTTTTTGTTTTGGTCGGTCTGATAACAAAGTATCAATTTTCTTTTTTACTAATTGTACTAACTACCTAACATTACAATACAAGTATCTTTCCAATTTACAATATATTATACAAATTCCATTACCTTTTATATCATGCAATACTAATAGAGTTAATTTAGTCTTTTTACCTTTATTTTTACTTTATCCTAATATAATTTAATATTTCTAAAATTCCGTAAAAAAACAAATTGATATATAGATATGAGACGGAAGGAGTATAGTATAATTTGCTTTCCTCTTAAGATATCACCTCAATGTATCTATCACTTATTTAATGTTTTATATCCAAAACTTTATTTTTCATTAAAAAAAAACATAAAGTAAATTTCAATTAAAAATGTCACTATTCTCAAAACAAAATTATTTTAATCATATTATAATTTAAATAAACTAAATAAAAATATTAAACCTTTATGACATTGACTAGGTAATTAGCGTGATATTATTATTTCCTGATTAAAGTGACACGTGTATGGTCACAAACATGCCGGCCCCGGACATGGCCACGTGATTCACGCCCAAAGCCTAAAATGTGTTTCTCCTAATTTGGTTTGAAAAAAAAAGTTAAATTTGAAAAAAAAAAAAAAAAAATTGAATTTAGTATTAGAATAATATTTAATAATATGTTTTTATATATATAAAAAAAATTATTATTTTTTTTCGATTATAAGGGTTTTATTTATTTTTTGTTTGTTGATTTTTGAATATCAATTATTATATCAAAACATAGTACAAATTAGAAAAAAATGATAAAAATACTTATATTAGTATTTTATAATACTATTGTAAAGACATTTGTGCAAAAATAATATAAATATAATGATGTTTTTAATGTTAAGTACAATGACGCAAATGATAGATGAGCCAGTAGAAAGAAGTATTTTTTTGAGAAATAGAAAGTTAAATAATAAAAATTGTGGTGCAAAAGAAATACACAAATGCATATATAAAATAGATTTGTATAAATAATATAATAATAATAATAATAATGAGTGTGAAATATATTAATTTTTTGGAAAAATTTATGAAAAGAACGAAACTAATATTTTTATCTTTTTCTTCTTTTTTAATCTACCTAAAATTTTAAAATATTTTCATAAAATATCTACACGCAAAACAAATTTGATCCTGATATTTTGAAGTGATGAACATCTTCGATTGTATAACTTTAATAGTTTTTTCAAATGGTAAAACCTTTGATAGTTTTTTTATTTTTTTATATTTGAAATGATTTTATAGTTTATTTTTAAAACGTTAAGAAGAAAAAATTGTGTAATTAAATAAAAATATTGTAACAAGTTTCGAACATTCAAAATTTAAAATAATAGCAAAGGATCTCCAACAAAGTGAGCACATATTATTTGTTTCATTTTTTTTTTAATAATATGAGACTCCTCAGTCGCTACTTTTTTTTTAGTACCCTTTGAATAAATTTCATTATTCGTCTATATTTACTTCTATTAACTTTTTTAACAGCAAACTTACTCTCTCCGCAAGAACGAGGTGAGGAAATCCATTCGACAAATATACGAGAATGGAAAGACAGCCGTGGAAATTAGTATGTTAGCATTTCAAACCGAGATAAATGTAATAACCAAATTGTTGTGGGGCGGATTGCTTCGAGGGGCAGACGAGGAAGTAATTGGAAACAAGTTTCGCGAGATCCTTCCTAAGGTTATTGATGTGTTTGGAAAACCAAACATTTCAGACTACTATCCATTTCTTGCAAGATTCGACATTCAAGGAATAAAAAGAGAGACGGAGAGGTATATGGTACATTTGGATAAGATTGTTATCGAAGTTGTTGAAAGTTATAAGAAGAAGTTTTCGAGAGGTGTTGTGGAAGAAGGGAAGAGAGACTTTCTTCAAATCTTGTTCGAGTTAAAGGCCGATGACGAAGATTTGATAACCGACACACAACTCAAAGCCTTGTTGTTGGTATGCTTCGCTTCACGATTTCTTACTATTTATCAATTTTTTTTTTTCTTTTGAAAAATGATCAAATCATTTATTTATTTTTACTTGATATATTATACACCAAATCAATTTTTCATTAAAAAAATCACATTAAATACTTTTTATGGTAGACGCATTTCAGTAGGATCTATATAATATATATTTGAAATTTAAATTATACTTAAAATGCTATTTTTGGCGTCAAATGTAGGATATTTTGAAAGAGAAGAAAATTGTCAAATCGTCGAAATACTTTTTCTAATTCTAAATTTTACTACTTCCTTCGTTCCCATTTAACAAGGACATTATTTTTTAATTTAGTAATTATGCTTAACATAACAAATACCATTTCAACTTACAATATATTACGTAAATGTTATTGCTTTTATATTACACAATATTAATAGGGTTATTTTTGTCCTTTTCACTACAATCTAATATAATATTAATATTAAAAAATTTATGTGTAACAAGTAAACATTACTCCCTTTAGGGACAAAGAGAGTATTTTCAAATCTCAAATCCAAATCTAATGTAAAAGTTTAAATTAATAGGATCATGAACCATTCTATATATCTTATAAAATTTTAAATACGATTTGGGTTCATGGATAATGATCGTTATATTCTTTGTCGCATTAACTCTTGTCGATCGTGTAGGACATCGTTGCAGCAGCAACCGACACATCAACAACTTCAATAGAGTGGGCAATGGCGGAGCTAATCAACAGCCCTACGGCGATGGCAAAGGCGCAAAAGGAGTTATCCGAGGTTGTGGGATTAGACAACATTGTCGAAGAACACCACTTGCCCAAACTAAAGTACTTAGACGCCGTTTTTAAAGAAACATTACGCCTACATCCCGTAGTACCCTTTTTGATGCCGAGGTCTACATCCGAGTCTTCCATTGTTGGGGGATACACCATCCCTAAGGGCACCATGGTTTTCATAAATCTTCCTTACATCCAAAAGGATCCTCGTTTTTGGAACAGTCCGCAGGAGTTTAAACCCGAGAGATTTCTTGGCACGGAATTTGATTTTACTGGTAATAGTTTTCATTATCTTCCATTTGGATCAGGGAGACGGATGTGCGCTGGCCTACCCTTGGCGGAGAGAATGCTAATGTACTTTCTAGCTTCACTTTTGCATTCTTTCGACTGGAAATCGCCGAATGATCAGAAACTTGATATGTCGGAGGCGTTCGGGATAATGTTGAGGAAGAGTGTTCCCCTTGCTGCCATCCCTATTCCTAGGTTGTCCGGTTCGAACTTATATACGTAAAATGTTTGTCATTTTTCGAATAAACTACTTGCAATTTCCTTTATGTACCCATGTTTGCAACTATAAGAAATATAATAAGTTTTGCTTACTTTGCATTTTGGCTTTTTTTTTTTTTTTTTAATATCTTTTATGCGAAATATATATTATATATGAAATTTTCTAAACGATGTTTTTGAGGAAAATTGAGAGATTAAAAGATAGATATATATATATATATATATAACTCAAAGTAAATATATATAGATATGTATATATATTTTAAAGAAATATGAGCAATGGATAGATCATTAATCCACCCTTCAAATTTAAAATCAGCTATCAAGGTTCAATCACAAGATTTTCTTTTCAAAATTACTCCCTCGCCAAATTTATTAATTTTGTTCGCTAAATTTATACTCATACCATAAATAATACTTCCTCCGTCGTTCAATTGTGTGCTCATTTAACCGAGCATGGATTTTAAGAAAAATTAATAAAAGAAAAACTTTTACTTTTTTAAGTAAAAAAAAAGTAGAAAAAATGATATTTTGTTACTATAAAAGAAAACGACAAATAAATTTTGATGAAAACCAAAAATTGAAAGTGAGAATAAATTTAACTGAGAGAGTAATAAACAATCTAATTTTGGAAATTTTTTGCTTTCCTTAGTTTTTAAGAAAACATTATTCCAGACCTCGTTTTCTTGTTATTTTAGTACTCTATATAAAAAATCTTTGAATTTAGGATATTGAGGAGTCGTTTGAATTGATTTAAAAGAAAAAAAGTAGAAGTCCAAGCAAAAATCAGAAGCAATTTAATTTTTTGTTGGAATAAATTTTTATAAATTTTACTATTTTTTAGAAAAAATATATTTGAATATAATAAAATTTAAAATATTTTTAAACCGTCAAAGTAATCCAAAAAGACGTGCTGTTAAATAAAATAAGTAAGTAGATCAAATACCTCAGTTTTGGTCCTACAGTGCCGAAGAACAAAGCCCATGTTTGTGTGTATATATTAGTGATAATGGAACGAGGTAGTATGGAAAATTTAAAAAAAGGGCGCATTCGACTATTGGTAGCGCGCGAAAGTATGTATACATCTGGTTATTTGAAAAATATATTTTATACTCTTTGATTGGTAAGTATCCAGGTGAAATTTAGAAATTTTAAGTCGAGAATCATTTTAAAGAATTACTTATAGTTGAATCCGCGAAGAACTGTACTTGAAGGTGTTTATAATATAGTGTTTAATGTGTCCTCATTTACCGAAGAGGAAAGTATTATTTTGTATTTGGACAAAAAAAATTACAAAATGAAATTTTCTAAGGGATGGAGTGAGTATTTTTGTTTTGCTTTGCTTTTTTGAGTTGATATAATAATTAACATTTCTATTAAATATTGACATTGGATATGAAAATAAAAATATAATACTTCCACTAATTTTACCATTTTTGTCCGTTCCAAAACAATAGTCTTATTTTCATAAATAATCATATCACCGTAAAACTACCCTTACTTTTTCATTTATATTACACAATTGCCACTATTTTTTATACTAATACACTCACTAGGGCAAAAAAGTCTTTTATCCATACTTTTATCAGCTACCAATATAATATCAATATTCCTTAAATACCGTGTCGGACACAATTAGCCCTTATTTTTGGGACAGAGGGAGTAGAATCTATCTTTATTTTTGTTTTCTAATAATATATTTCAATTGAATCGGTTTCCATGCTGAGTGGGTCAATTCCGACATGATATATATTATTGATTTCGGTATAATAAACAATATTTATACACTATAATACAATATATAAATTGCGCAATAAATTTCACATAGCACCTTAACCACGTATATTTTAATTGATCATATTTTTAAATAATATTTTCTTTTGAAAAAACAAAATATTAAGTTATAAAAAACTAGGAAAATGCTGAACTCCCATATTAATATAAAAAATCTGATGGTACAATATATATTTATAAAAAATGATAAAATTAAAAATTTGAATACTTAATAATTAAAATGAATCAAGAGAAAATAAATAAAGCTTCGCTTTCTTTGATTTTTTTTTTTTTCATTATTTTTACCATGCAAGTTTTATAATATTCTATAAAAAAGTCATTTTCCTAATATTTATATTAAGTTAAACTATTATTTAAAGACAATATATAGATATAGATACAAATACAAATACATACACAAAATACAATAATTATACATTACTCTTGGCCTCTTGTGCTTCGTAATTAAGGTTTGAAAAAGTCAAATTTTATATGAGATGCATATTAACTTACAGTACCAATTAACCATTAGATTAATCGAGCCTAGTTTGCAGGGTATTAGGTTTGGCCAGGGGTTTACCCAGTGCACACTTTCGGATAGCGGCTGTTGCGGGTTTCCACATCATAAAAAAAAATAAATCTTATTTTGATCCTCCGACAATAATTGTTGAATCAAGAAATTCTCTAATCTATTTTGACATATGATCTTTTTATTTTTTTATTTTATTTTATTCTTTATAACGTGGGAACTCACAGCCGCTACCCGAAAGTGCGCACTGGGTAAACCCTCGGCCGAACCTAATACCCTGCAAACCAGGCTCGACAGGCAAGTCACACTAGCATATGGATCTTTTTATTCTTTCTTGTTGTTCACAGGTTTTTATTTGGAGTAAAACGTCTCATCAGGTTGCAGACTGACAGTAACATTCCTTGTCTCTCTCACGGTTGGTGAAGTAAATAAGACAAAAAGAGATTGTTTTGGATGGTCAACTTGGGAACAAATTTCATACAGAGACACACAATACCTTTTAGGTGCAAGGGATTTTAATTGTGTTTGTTTTACATGGTGACTGCTACATTGTAAGCCGTGTGTGAGGTTTGGTTGTTGGAAAGGGTTTTGAGAGTTGTATGTAGTCTGAGAAAGTGTGTTTAATCTTCTCAACTCCAACCATTCACTTCTCCATGTATTGAGTGAGTGCTTGTCACTTTTATTCACCGAAGACCTCGTCGAAGGAAGGAGAAATCGGAATTCTGTAAGGGGAGACATCCAAATCCCGAGCAGCCTTGTTCTTTGGTAGTTGTCAGCACGAGTCTGTGATAACGTAGAGGAGTATTTCCAAAGTAACAAATGCAGAGGAATGGGTTGAAGGAGTGGTGGTTGTCATGGTTCTTAATCAACAACACTTATTAGTGAATTTCTTCTGGATTGGTATCACCCGAATGTAAAATTATTTATATCTGAACCAGGTAAATAGATCGTGTCTTATTTACAGTTTTGTATTTCCGTATGCATTCATTTGACAATATGATGTATAATTGTGATATAACTATGCTTCGGGAGTTGACCATTGTTTAAATATTCAAAAAAAATTTGGTGCATCACCTATTCCCAACATTAATCAATGCTCGAGTTTGCATACACATCAGCATCGACGGAGTTATATTAGCATAGATGCAACTCATATGCCGCTCCAAAGGAATATAGTAAAATTTCGAAAAATCCAGAAAGCGAAAAGCAAAAGTTAAAAAATACATATTTTAAATATAATTTTATTTTTTTAAAAAAGTATATTTTCTAGAAAAATCAATACCACACTGATTTCCAGTATAGGCTGCTAAGTGATTCGGGTCACTTATTCTTGCGTTCATATCTAACATTTTAATATCTATTTTTTTTTTTTATATATATTATTATATTTATAAATATATATATTTTTAAAAAATATCAAATTACGTATTTATTTATTTTACATTAAAAGTAACTATCAAACAATCCAAATCATCGAAACATGCCAAAAGCACAACCAAACAAACAACTTTTTGGAAATAAATTATTGAAAAATTTTTAAGGAGAAAAATCTCAGTTAGAAATTAATATAATAATAATAATAATAATAATTAAATGAAGGAGTCCAATAATTTATGCTCCGTACAGATATAGTTTTTTGAAAGGTCTGGAGTGGTGAAATCATTGACACCAATCAAATTAAAATTATTATTTAATAGGAAATTTTATAATAAAAAATAATTATTTGATCTGATATATATATATATATATTAAATGATAGGAGCTTTTAGATATGCGTAAACAATATTATTTGCATTAAATTATATATTAGTTACTTCTGTGTTATTAAAAATGCCAAAAATACATTTGTGTATTATTATTATTATTATTATTATTATTTTAATGTAAATGCTAAAAAAAGTAAAATATCTCAAATAATATTTTTTAAACAAAATAAGTATCAAAATTTATCAACCATTTTTTTAATAATTTTCTTAGACAAATCGTATCTAATTTTCACAAAAAAATGATAATAATAATAATAATAATAATAATAATAATAATAATAATGAAAATATAAGATTAATCAATTATCTATTTATTTTATTCGAATATGAATATTTAAAATATTTTATTTTTTTTATTTGTATAAAATTTGCATAATTAAATGCCCATTTACAAGTAAAATTAGCTTTGGACGAATGGGATGTTTTGTACGCACTTTAATTTAACAAAAAAATATTTTATTTATTTTATACATTTATCCTAAAACACAAGAAAATATTAGGCAATTTACTCTATTAATTTAATCTTAAATTACAAACTCATTCATTGTTCAACTTGCATACTCAAATTTTGAATTAGAGAAAATGGATCATTTCTCTCAAGCAATTCTTACACTTGTTTCAATTCTTGTAGTAATTTCTTCCGTCTCCTACTTCAAATTTTTGTCCAAATCTGCATCAAAATTTCCACCAGGGCCATGGGGTTTGCCGATCCTCGGCTATCTCCCGTTCATCGGAACCAATATGCTCCGGACATTCTCCAATCTTGCGACCAAGCACGGCGAAATCTACAAACTCCATCTTGGCAATAAACTTTGTGTCGTAATAAACTCACCAGCCCTTGTGAAGGAGGTTGTCCGGGATCATGACAGTGTTTTTGCCAACCGGTCTGTGACGGCTGCTGCCTTTGCTGCCACTTATGGTGCAAAGGATATTGTCTGGTCGCCCAACAACTCCGAGTGGCGGGCTATGCGCAAAATATTTGTCCGGGAGATGATGAGCCATAGAAGCCTCGAGGTTTTGTTAT